CCGCCGCCGCCGCGCCCGACGGCTACGTGGAGATGAACTACGGCCGCGCGCCCACCAGGCCCATCGCCATCGTCAACGCGCGCCCGCCGCCGCCCATCGCGTCGTCGCCCGACGACCGCCGCCGCCGCCCGCCGAAGGAGAACCGGACGCCGCTCGGCTCCCAGACCATATTCCCGCTCTCGCTCGACTCCCCCGCCTCGCCTCCCGAGCTGGACTCGGCGGACGTCTTCGAGGAGGACCCGCCCCACCACCCGCTGACGACGGTCCGAGAGATGTCCGAGGACGGCAGTCGCCAGGACGGGAGGCGAAGCCCCGAGGTGTCGTCGTCGCCCTCGTACGTCAAGCTGGCGTACGGGAGCAAGCCGATCGCGGCGCCGGTGAAGACTCCGGAGGTGCAGCCCGAGGAGCTGAGCTGCAACCCCACGGCGACCAAGACTTTGGCGAGAATCGACAATTTGGATATAAAAGGTAAGACTCGTGCGAGCCGGCCCGCTAGCCGGACGCTAGGTCGAAATCGAGACTCGAACGACCTTGTGATAGCTACAAACCACAAAGAACTGAGGAGCATTGTCAATGCGCGCGACACCCCGAGACAAGCCCTATGTGCCTGTAAATGCATCAGCACCTTACCCACCTTGAGAGCTGTTCTGCTGCCCGCAGAGGCCGGCGCCGCGGTGGCCACGGTGGTGCTGGCGGGCAGCGGCAGCGCGGCGCTGCGCTTCAGCGTGGGCGAGGGCGCGTCGCCGCCGCTGGCGCCGCTGTCGCCGCTGCCGGCGCCGCCGCTCAACTACGCGGCGCTGGACCTGGAGCCGCGGCCCGCCGGCGCCGCGCCGCCCGGCCGCACCTACACGCAGATCGACTTCGTGCGCAGCGAGAAGCTGCACGCCGACGCCAACTAGTCTCCTCGCACCTCGGCGGGTGCAGCCTGAAATATCGCTTGAGCGTTCTCGAGACTGTCGAGCGTGAGTGATGAACCTTTGTCGGTAGTACTTTTAACGCCGTGTCTTGTGTGATTGGTCGGTTAATGTGTTTCAATTCTTTGCCTTCGCAGGGGTGCGTTCTTAACGTTGAGTGGAATATTCCAACTGTTCCGTTTCGATTAGAAAAACTACGTTTTCGAGTTCAAATTTCTAACTCATCAATCACATAACGAACGAAAAGTGTCATAAAGAACGCTTAATTCTAAAGAGCAGTCGACTGCCATTTACTATTTAAGTCGGGCGAATGTAAATAAAAATACGAAGGAAAATTATGCTTTGGACGCGGAGTGACGGCGAAAAGACGATCGTGTGAGAAGTATTGAGTGTTGATTCAGCTGTTGAAATTAATGGAACACGTATGTTATGATTTAGGAATAACGCTGGCTGGTTGTGTTTAAATTACTACCATTGAACTTTATCGTGCAACACTCCACTTTAACTTCGCTACATAATACAATGGGATAAAATGTTTTTACTCCACTAATATCTAATTTCAGAAATGTATTAAAAATTATACTATGTGCTAGCGTTATTCTCTAGTCATTACGGTTAACTCTTTGTAAACTCGCACTCTAAAAACTAAGCAGCTATCAGGCTTACTTCCTAAAGAACTAAGAGCAAAATGTAACATACAGAACTCTTTATATTTATTGTTTATATCTCACTCTCGGATATTTCAAAATCGTTAGACTTACGCTTGCTTCTGATACTATAATTATAAAAAAAATATATATATATAAAATTTTAGATTACAACAATTTTATTGTAATTATTTTAACCGATTGTACAGCATAAAAGCTATATTAAAAATATATGACATTAATAAATGAAATTATACAAAGTGTTACATACTTCGAAAATTATCTAAATTTAATTGCGACATCTGGTTGTTTTCACAATAGATCAAAATTGAGACAATTCACTACCTCTACATTATTTGTGAAGTAAAGTTATTGAAAGTTTATTGAAATACATTCTATGAGAGTCTTGTCGTCTTATATATATGTATTAAATGTTTTTAAGTAGATGTACTTACACTTTCTCCTATCGTACTATTCGGACTTGGCCACGTTAAAATTAATATGTTATATATTTCTCTAGAGCATTCGGTATATGATCACTTTACGATTCTGTTAATAATTTCATTAAATGCTAATAAAATTGATCAATAGTGAGTGTACTGGACAACACAAGCACGACAACAACTTACTACTAACCATCATTTGTTTAAACAAAACTCGAAATTATAAAAGTGCTTGCGCGTTTTAGCATACGAGTAACGCCATCTAGTGACAGAAGTGGTACTAGACTAACCGAACAGTTTGTTTGTCAGTCTTTTGGACACTTTCGCGTGTCTTCCTTAACTTGACGTTAGCGGAATCATGTGTCGATGAAGCTATAAGACTTTAAAAAGAAGACTAATAATATAACGGCAGTTCTACTTGTCGCCTTGTGGCTTGCAGATAATTTGCTGTCATTAAAGCTGGGTTTTCGCTATACGAGTACACTCGTACCGAGTCCACTCGGACGCTACTCGTGACGTGTAAACGCGTGATCCGAGCGCACTCAGACGTCGGTATCCGATTAGAGCGGATTCGGACGCGGTTCTATTTTTCGGATCATTTTATGAAAACACAATGGCGCCACCTAAGAAATAGACTCATTGTAGTTTTAAACGTATTTCTATCTTTCTCTTCCACGTTTCGAATAAAATTATTTGAAACATGAGTTCAAAATCCATTTTCTGGTCCAAATTTTTCTCTTGCTTTGATTTTTCCCTTCCATGATTTTGTACTTCAGCCATTAGTATATCCGCTACAACTCACATACCTCGCAGCAGCAAATCAGTCGTCATCATCTTGATTGTGCAAGGAGACAAATCGACTGTGAACTAACAATCGATACTATCTCAATTTTGACAACTTAATAGGATGAAGAAAAAAATTGTTTTGTGTCATTTATATAGCATCTAGTTTATTAAATAAAAATACGTAGTTTTTAGATATTCTTATTACACATGCATGTATGTCCACTATATATTTTTATTTTATAAACCAGATGCTATATTACTATATTATTCTATATTATTATAGACTTTTCTTCATCCTGTAAAGTTGTCAAAAATTGAGATAGTACCGGTTGCCAATTCACAGTCGAGATGCTACTTGGACGCTGAAGAACTCGTACGGTGTAAATCAAAATCCGAGTGGACTCTATACGATCTAACTCGTACAAGCACACTCGATCCGAGAGCACTCGTATAGTGATAACCTAGCTTAAGAAATGTGTACTAGACCTCTCTCTGACTTGCCAGCGTCTATTGGCTATCTGTGACTTTCCAGTTCATCGAGTGTAGAGTGTCGTATGGGACATGCGTTATTCAACGTCATGAACAACTTGCTTTATTAGCTTTAGTAAAATTCGTACCAGAATCTGTTATCTATTTCTGAAATAATCTACTGTAATATTTATATTATAATACCAATTCTTGACTATTAAATGGAAGAATTTTGTGCAGGTAAAAGAAAGAAACAAAGTAACGTGTAAGGATGGCCATATATGAAATTTTGTATATGAAAACATAACGTTAATATTTTATAATAGTAAATGCTACGGTTGTGAGAGTGGCCTAATGTAGTGCACACGAGTTTACGTTCTCTTACACATTGTATTTGTTGCCGTATAATTGTTTTTGGGTAATGGTTTGGGGATATTTCGTTTTTCAATGAAAGAGCAAGAAATATCAAGCTTATCTCTGGTCATATGGACAACGCTCACTCAAGATTCCTTTGCATTAACATATACATAAGTCGTATTGACTTTAAGTCTACTTTTACTATGTGTGTATCATCTTCAAGACAATACTAAAGATAATTATTCGGTAACAAAGCCATGTATTAATAAATATGTACTACCTATTGTGTTCTTAGGATACTCTGTTCTAACGGCAGTGCAATTTTTACCACACGTTTTAAATGATGAAGTTATTTCTACACTGTTATTGTTTGTTACTTGCAGCCCTCGCTGTTATTTATCCATTCGCGATTGTTTTAACTGCGACTTCGACCAAAATAAGCGCAATATTTTTAAAGCCAACATGGCTGTGGCAGTACTGGTATGTGAAATGTTGGTACTTTTTTCTAAAGGTCATTTGTATATTTTTTACTATACAATTAAGAAAAGTCCACTATCACTTCTGCAACAACGATGTAACTGAAAAAAGTCATATCAACATACACATAGAAACCAGTGGTGGTTTACGTGTTTAATAGTTGAACCGTGTAAACAAAGATCAATTAGTATTTTTTCTGTACATCATAGAGCAACTAACCCCAATTCTTCAACACAATCTTGAATTCGTATTATAATCAAAAATATATAGCTTCTTCAAGTAAGCATATTAGAGAGTGCTTTTATTCCTTGTTAAATCGTTTTTGTTTCCTAGTTTTATAGCATCCAATTCCACCTTAAAATATTATCAATACATACATACATATTATGCACCGTTAGACTATTCAATAATCTCGAATGGATAAATCGATCTTTTAAATAATCAAAATAAGTGTTCATTGAATTAATGATCAAATACGTATTTAATTGATCAATGAAAATATATCATTGTCAATACATATTTTGATCGTAAAGATGTCAGTGATACTTCGTTATGCTAATAAAGGTCAAATCATACTTCAGCGGGCTTCAGCACCGCTTTTAATAAGGATTGCTAGTACGGAGGCGATGTTAATGTATTTATAAGTATAAGCCAATCACAGTCGAAATTTCCGAGGGAGAATCCCGTAAGACGAATCAGGAATGCTAGTGGTAGTATAGGGTAAAACACATTTGTTCACATTTGTCGTTTACAATAATTACTTACTTAAAAATATCACAGGTAGAAACAAACTCAAAGACCTGAACAAATCACTACCATAGATTTTTGTTATCCAAGTAATCAGAAACGGTACAATAACCATTTGTATAGTGTTTTCATCATCGTCATTATTTTTATTCCATGTTTTAATTATGTATATCACTATTTTTGATGACAAGATTCGTTTTAATATTATAATTACATTTTCATGAATAGACTGGGTCTCCAGTCGAAGAATGTAATTTTTTTTAACTCTTAATATTAACTACAACTGTATCTACAAGGTTATTTTTTCATAATATTAATCGTAAACCTACAAATAAAAAAGGACCTAAAATTACACCTTGTGGGACACCCATGCTTACCATAGTCACTAATGACCTCGTACCATTGACATCGACCCCTGGATCCTATTACTTAAATAGGATTTGAGAAAATCTGTTATGGCGGCTTGCAACACCATAATTGCGAAGTTTCCTGACCTGGAAATCTTGATGCACATTATTCAAATGCCTTGGAAAGGTCGCAGAATACTCTCTCTATGCGAGAAGTTCCAGCAATTGTTGAATACCCCAAACAAAACCGGATTGTTTAAAAATCCAACTCCAAACAAAACCAGATTGTTTAGAAATCCATTTGCTACCTATTTAAAGGGTGGTCTCTGATTTGCTTCATGAGGACAGGAAACCACCAGAAATATGTCTATATAAAAGTATAACATTTGAATCGAGTTCTTACTATTGTATGATACTTTTTATAGTTCCAATTTTGATTTCTCACCAAACCCGAACAGTAGGTCTGTGCCTCAGAGCTTGCCATTAGAAGTTACGTCACAAATAAAATGACTACGTATATTGTTTAAAACTTGACTTTAAAAACATTCAATGTTTTGGACAATTAGCGACATATGCCTATTGACACATAAAACGTATTCTTACGATGATTGTTAATTATAACAACTGACCAAATAACATCACCATAAATTATAATAATAGTTTATTTTCCTTCAACAAACATACGTTTAAGAGCCTATACTTCTTCAAATGGC